CATCAATTATTTATAAAGTACAATTTAATTTCTATAAAAACGTAAAGAAAAAATCCGAAATTGTGATATCGTTTTTCTTTCTTCGTCTTATAATTTTCTTTTTGTCTTTGGTATCTTCTACACTTTTTACCTAAAACCATTGACTGCATACAAACCAATATTTTGTTGTTTCTATGTGCTAAATGTGTGGAGACATATTCTAATGACAACATATCAATTTGTCTTTAATGTTGAGGAAAATGTATATATTTTTGTCACTTCTTAATTGGTAGTTCTCGACCGATCTGTTTTGCTACATCCTCCATTATCTTATGAACCATCTCAGAATCTTTATGCGAATAATGAGCACATTCAGTTTTCCCTAAATATATTTAAAAACTCATTAGCACATCAATACCGCATAGTAAATAATAGCAAATAATCTTGACAGTTTAAAGTACACTGTCATGCTAGCCTACAGAATGTATACACATGGAAAACATGTAACTTGAGCTAAGATAACTCAGAACTAAGTATAATTTTTTTACTGAATCGCTTGACTTGATTAATCGAGGTTCTATTGCATGTGAAAACATACACGTCATCTTGTTCCTGAAAAATCAAGTATATAAGCAAATCGGTCAAGTGGTGGTAATTTTATTAAATTATATCGAATCTTTATAAACTTTTGTGCCTTTTGTTCAGAGAATTATAGGCTACAACTGTTATCTTTCTAGTCAAGAGGAGACGGTACTCCTATATCGTATATGTACTCTTCAGAAGTGATGAGTGTCAAAGACAATATATATATATATCTATAAAGTTGTCCTCAATGCTCTTCAACTTTGTACTTCTTTGGCTTTATAACTATTTTGATCTGAGCGTCACTGATGAGCCTTATCTAGACGAAACGAGCGTCTGGAGTATTAAATTATAAGCCTGGTACCTTTGATAACTATTTACACCACTGGGTCGATGCCACTGCTGGTGGACGTTTTGTCCACGAGGATATCACCAGCCCAGTAGGCAGCACTTCGGTGTTGGCATGAATATCAATTATATGGTCATTTTTATAAATTTCCTGTTTACAACATTTTTTGAATTACTAAGGATTATCTTACCCCAGTCAAAGATTACCTTAGCCGTATTTGGCATAACTTTTTGGAATTTTTGGTCCTCAATTCTCTTCAACTTTGTACTTCTTTTGCTTTATAACTATTTTGATCTGAGCGTCACTGATGAGTTGCGTGTAGACGAAACGCGCGTCTGGCGTATTAAATTATAAGCCTGGTACCTTTGATAACTATTGGAGAGCAATGTAATATTGAAGATTATCGCTATTTTGCGCATTTTTCCTTTAATCATTTTTTGTGATAATTTTTCATATCAAGCTACTCGCTCAAGATAGAACATTATCGTCAGAAACCAAGGGCGCACGTGCCGTTGTCAATGTAAAAATTAACGACGTCATAGGCAAAATAGCGATAAACAGATGATCAATGGTCTTTCAAACTCGAGGAAGTTTCTCGGCCAAATCTCATCTCACGGCTGTCACCTTTAGATGAGATTGTAGCTGAGAAACACTCTCTCGTTTTAACCATCGATAATCTATAAGTTTATCACAGATGCATGAAAAGGGTATATATGAACGTTTTATTCGTTTAACATCATGTGTCCTATTTATCTGGATTAAAAAAAACTGACATTTTTGTGGATATCTAATTTCGTTATTTGCCCAATTCTGCTTACAAGCCTATAGGAGATTTGAACATTTTTTTTAATTCAATTTCGTGGTTTACATTTACCCACGAATAACAATGATTTCATAACAATCTATATTTTAAGTGTCATTTAGGAATAATGGCCAGCGTTACACATTGCTACATAAGATATGAATTCAAATCAATGAATAAGAATACATTTTGTTTCGGATACTTGTTTTTGTTATTTGATTTATGTGTTTAAACATACCGCTGTTAATGCATTTTCTTACTTCCTCTGCTTCATAACACAAACCACCACTGTTAGGATAATTGAATGGTACAGGGCCAACAGGTATTTTGTTAGTTTCCTTTCCCGTCGATAATATAACTTCCTTTGGGCACCAAAAACGATCCTTCATCTAGAAATTGGCCATTGTGTAGTCAGTATACTTTATATTGTACATTTAAACGAACTGGAATTACTTTGTGTCCTTGTTTGTAACGTTAATATATACTAGTCAACAAACGAAACGATACAAGCAATGTATTTTCTATATAAAATGAAATTGGATACACTGTACCAAGGTAAATAATTGCCAAATTGGTCTAATGTTTACAGAGTGTTATTTTCTAATCAAAACCATTGATTTAAGGCAAATACACGAAATATTTTTGTTGCAATTTTTGTTATTTCAAAAATCGTATTTTCATCCAAAAATTCAAAAATCGATATAAGAACTTAAAACTTTAAACTTGAACACGGTCTGCTTTAAATTTTGAATGCCTTTGCATATATTTGAATACTAAATTCTCATCTTCGAAATTAAGTGCCGACTTTTGTCATCATTTTCCGCAAAATAAATTTGACCCCTGTGTTCAATAACACGGTATTTTCTCACTTTCCAATTTAGTCAGATTCTTTCAATCATATGCATTTGCTTTGCAAATGAATGTTTTTCATCGGATAATTTAACAGTTTTTCCTATTTATTATATATTATGATAAATTGGAGTTCAAACTTGTGTATCGTTACTTTTTGTGACTAGTATAGCTTCAATTAGTAAAATAGAATCAAGAAGGTAAATTCTCCCTAAAATTTAATAGAAAGACCAATTATTACCAAAATTTAAATGGTGTAAATTGAAAAGCTACCAAAGTGTGTCTGTACAATTTAATCGTCCAACGCATAGCAAAACAAGGATGGACTCTGATCAACGTCGAATGCGCTCTCTCGCCTGTGGTTTACATCGTATGTAAATTGTTTGCATCCGCAATTAAATTGCGCACAATTTATTAACGCCGATTGATTTTAAACTGTATCAATTATGTAGGGGATTTTGAGCGCCTTCATTTCTTATAAGAGTTTAATGAAATTCATACCTTAGGTTGACATTAGCAATATCTAGGGCTAACCTGAAATCGAAGCCTGGAAATTTATCAATATCATAATTCGATGCTATAAGTGCTGTAAAATGTAAATATTTTATCGGCTCTTGAATCAATTACGTGAAAGTAGATGGTCGTCTTTTTCGTTATTTCAAAATGAAGAAAACAATTATCATTTCTATTTTGTCAGTAAACTTACCTCAATAGAACCATTGGTACCATGAATAGAAGCACAGTTTATGTCACTTTTAACTTTTGAGGAGTACATTAGACACGCTTTTTGACCTTTGCTGTATGATAAAATGATACACCCATCAATGTCGTGTCCTAAAAAAAAATAGTAAATTATCGTCATTTCGTTTTCCATAAGCTAAATTATTCAAGCTCAGATCATTAACCTTGCTTTATTTTTATCAGGAATAGGTAAGAAAGCAGAAACTGTTAAGAGAGAATAGCATTGAACAATCTTTACAATTAAGTAAAAAGATTTTGCTTATTTGTTAGCACAATTTGTATGGGGCACATTAAACAAATCGGTCGTAATTCGAAAACAAAATGTCTATCGATTTTACTGCTACCTTCATTGTTGTAAGTGACACCAAGCTGCTAACCCTTTTACGTATTAATAGCGATTCATTAAAGCCTTCATTTTCGCCAAAGTTTTCAACAGGTTAAAAGCAAAAGGTTCTAAACAATCCAAGGGAAAGGGGGGTGACAGTAGTCTCATTGTGGTAATTGTTTATAACAAATAAATTGGTGTCCAATTGTAGCACTGTTTGTTCAAGAGTTGTTTTAGACTGACGTTCTAAATATAACCTTATAAGCATTTCTTCGTCATTTGAACTGCAATTGACGTAATCCTGCTATTCATAAGAACGATAGCAATTGCTTTCATTTTTACGTAGCTTGTTCATTTTGCAGACTCTAACAAAATTTAAGCAAGATTGACCTAAGATATTTTTGCATTATTTTGATGATAAATTTGGTCGTATAGCTTCTTACGTCTCAAAGTGTGTATGCATCCAGGGTATTTTGATAATATTAATCCAGAAAAGAGCCTCCGACGAACAAAATTAATAAAGCTTTACTAGTATTCTAAGTTTGACACAATTCAAAGGATATTTGTTTCGTCTTTTGTCGTTCTAGATTTGTTCTCAAAAGGTTCGGTTGACGGCCTATAAAACGTAGAGGAAAACAGGGATCATCACAAAATCGTAGATGTATACACATACCATATCTATTTTACCACACCCGACTTACAAAAACAAACAGCTCAAGGACCAAATATCCTGGCTTTGTACATCCGCTAGCTGATGTTTGGTCGATCCAGTTTGACGTGCGCAACCCTCCCCCTCTTTTCCTCTCAAAATTGCATAACACTTAAGCACGCTTAATTGTGCATACAATATTACAAAACGCCACGGAAGGCAGTAGATGCTATTATTTCATTATTCCTCTATGGGGTCGCTGTGTCACATATGACCATGGATGTGTCGTGGTCATTCTCTCGTTCTCACTTCCTTGATTGTGACATCCCCGAACATAAATTAAAACCGAAATTGTACTTACCATTAACAACCTATGAAAGGATATCTCATAATGCCTCCGGAGAACTTGGGATAACTCTGGACATTTAATGGATTCGTTTTCAGTCTTTCGGTTTTGTACATGTAGTGTTTGATAAACTGTGTTTTCGTCATTTCTACGAAAATAATTTATTAGTCTATCTTCCTCTTATGAGGTTTGATTCTACTTTCGGTAACTTCTGCCTTTTTCATTTTTGTTTAACATAACTACCTAACATATTAATTTGTTGATATTAATGATAACAGTAATGGTGATACTGTTGAACACAAACGGTTCAGAGGAAGGCATGCAAAAACCTGACTTTAGTGGTTTTTTTCTCACATAATACCATTTACTTTATTTGTTTTACTTACCACTTTTAACAACCTCCCCAACTGCTTTAACAGATACAGGATATTCGCCATACACCAAACATGCGAATTGAACAGTGTAAATACCCGCATCCAGCAACATCCCAGCACGTATTTGTGTTTTTATGCGTTCACAATAGTCAAAATTTAAGAAGAATTTTGCTGACACCATCTGAGCTTCCCCTATATTCTTGGAAATTATTTCTTCTTTGATTCTGTGATACAGTGGAAAACAGCGACTCCATACCGCCTGTGATCATTCGTTAAAATTATAAAAACTACATTTATCTCTAAATTAGGTTAAATTAAATTACTAATCCTACCGAAAATGGACAGTTGAATAAACACAAAACTAACTTTCTAACATGTGTGCGTGTGTGTGTGTGTGTGTGTGTGTGTGTGTGTGTGTGTGCCTTTCAGGAGTGTTCATTATTAGAAGCTGTATATCTTTTTCTTTCTTTTTTTTCTATTTGTTGTTGTCATTTTCCATAAGAAGTGGTATGTGTATCTAAGTTTCTGTTCAAACAATCATATCTACTTAACTTATCTTGTGTGACTGGTCAAAGGTTGTTTTTCGTTTTTTTATCATTACGGATTGTTAGTGTTACATTTTTATTTATTCTACATACCTCCATAAAAAATAGTTGTTTCTCCTTAGCAAGATTATGAACCAGTTTGACATCTTTAAGTGTATTTGCTAATGGTTTCTCACATAGAACATGCTTTCCTGCATTCAGCATTTGAATACTCAACCTGACGTGTTCTGTGTATGCACTTCCGATATATACTATTTCTAAAAAAGAAGAGTAATACACTTTTAGGGGGTATTTTACTTTTTTATGTGACCATGTGTGCCTGAAATCATTAGATATCAACATGTCCAACTCATATTATCATAATATAATTGAACTCAAATGACAAGTTAAAATATGTGTGATGAAGGGAAGTTTTTAAACCTTGGTTTGATATGACAATTAAAACTTGTTTTAGCTATTCAGTTGGTTTTATTTCAAGGCGCCATCGATGAGTCTTATGTAGACAATACGCGAGTCTGACGTACCAAATTATAATAGATATAAGAAGATGTGGTATGAGTGTCAATGAGACAACTCTCCATCCAAGTCAAAATTTATAAAAGTAAACCATTATAGGTCAAAGTACGGTCTTCAACACGGAGCCTTGGCTCACACCGAACAGCAAGCTGTTATCGTAGACGAGTTTATAAAAGGACTGTGCTGCTGCTACTGCTGGTGGACGTTTTGTCCTAGTGAGTATCAGCAGACCAGATGTTAACAATTTTGTGTTGATATGATATATCATTGATCGTTATTTGTTCTCTAAAGAAAGTACTGATCACCAAAAAAATATCTGAAAAAAGTATAATACTTTTAAACACCTTAATGTTGTTATGTTAAGAAATTTCCGGTCGTGTTTATATCAAAATATGTACTTCAGTCAGCAATGAGTTTAGTAGGGTGGTTTTCACTTAGCAATGCCAACAAGCACATTCACTTATATAAGTATGGATAACAAAGATAAGACAGAAATTATTTAACTACAAACAAAACCGTCTATGCTAAATGATTAAATTACCGTAACTGATGAGAAACAAAGAAAGATCTTATGTTTCAGACTTGCATTAGATTTTAATGGTTTCAAAAATGATATCGGACAACAAAACACCCTCTGCATGCATTTTGTTTAGTATATTGAAACAACATTTTGATTTTGGATTGCTAACTCTTTGAGATACACCCCAAATCTCCTTTTATTTATCATTCAACCATGTATTCATCAGAACGTTTTTAGTGTAGTATCAAAAGTCAACATGACTAAGGCAAAGCAATGATTATCACTAAGACCAAACTATTACCAGGAGTGAAAAAATGAAAAAATAATCCATACTAATATCCGCATCTGCAGCAAATTTTTCATATGAGCTGTAGGTCTTTGGAATGTCAAATGTATCCGAAAACTTCTCTGCATTCTCTTGTGATCTGGACACAACAGCAACTATCTGACCGATAAAAAAAGAAAATCAAATAGATTTATCTAATTGTTTTAGTACATCTACTTTTGCGGGTTTCGTCATCGCTAGTTTTTACAACGTTTGAACATACATATTCCTGCGCTTGCGTGAAATATACATGCTGAAAAATTACTACATTTGCGCAATTTGTTAAGATCTCTGTCAAACAGAAATAAAACACAATATATTTTTTTCTATAAAAGTTAATATAATTATTTCTGCAATAAGGCAAACAAGACAAATTTGGAACCGAAACGAATTTCAACAGTTTTAAAGATCATCTTATGTCATCTCGAGTTCTATTCATAGAATTAATTCTTAAAACGCATTCCGTAAGGTTTGGGTAAATTTCCAGTAAATAAGAGGTAAATTCGTTCAAAAAAAATAACTATCTTTTGATGAGGTAAATATGCGGTTTTATTGACTTTTTAAAAACTGATATTCACTGAGGCCGACAGCCGAAATGAATATAATTTTAAACCACATATTTACCGTTACAAAAGACTGTAATTGTTGTATTCCATATTCCGAGAGAAAACAATGTATTAAGTGACAAATATTTACCAAAACCATATGTACATCAAACATTTTACCATAACGTTACATGTAAAAGAGCGTGATGTTTAACGCGGTATATATCACTTCTCTCCAGGTGAGTATGCTGTTTTATTCAAAATCCATTTCATACAGAGAAACCTACTTAAATACAACCAAAATGGAATAATATACAATCATTGTCCTTTGATGAGGTAAATATGTGGTGTTATTGACTTTTGAAAACTGATTATGACTGAGGCAAACGGCCGAAATGAATATCAGTTTAAAGTCAATTAAACCACATAGTGACCTAAACAAAAAACAGTAATTGTTTTATTCAATATTCCGAGAGAGAACATGTATGTAATGACAATTATTGACCAAAACCAATTGTACATCAAATGATTTTACCATAATCATACATGTAAAAGCACGCGTCGTTTTGCGCGCTGAATATACTTTTCCGCAGGTAAATATGCTGTTTCATTCATAATCCATTTCATATGGAAAAACCTACTAAACTTCTATCAATATGGCATACTACCATTTAATCGCGCAAACATTATTATTGCAAAATTTACTTTCGAGTCGCGAACATTTGTCGCCTCTCTAATTTGTTTATCGTCTAACGTGTGCAACAAAGTCCTGATCGTGAAATATCAACCGAATTCTTTACGAAGAAATGAATACAATTCAACCGATGAATGTAACGGTTAGGGATAAATTAAACTGATGAAGGTGAGGGTAACATGTCTAACCTGGTGGTTCTCTGATGGCAGGGTTTTTAATGCTGAACAGAAATCACTGCATATTTTTCCAGTACTGCATATTCCCCATTTTAGTGCCATTTTGGATAATTTCTGTAACATAAATAACATGACCAGCACATTTCACTTTTATCGGTGATGCATGAACAGCAGATGGGTGATTTCGCTGTAAACGCACCCAGTCTCGCTCTCTTTGTTGTCGCCTTAAAAGTATTGGTAATATAGTATGACCACGAATACACATTGATCATATGTGATGCCCTCATATATACGCATTGATATTATATAGTGGTGCAATTTTTCAAAAGGCCATATTATCGACTGGATGTAGGACCGTAAGTGTCTTTTAATAGAGAATAATACATTGTAAAATAAAATGCCTACTGTGTGATGTCAAATCAATATTGAATACTATGTCAATCCTCAACCAATATAATTTTTGGAAGGCGAAGACCCTCTGGCTGATATTGTTCACTAGGGTTGATACAGCATGTGAATCGGATTATATATGTAATAACAACTTTATTAATTTTTCAACAGATAACTTTATCTAAAAAGAAATTACCAAATTGAGACCCCTTCCGAAAATTATATCATATTTTGTGTCACTTTTTCGATAAGGAGAAAATAATTAGTCTGGTCCTGGTCTTAGTGAAAATAAGTTATCTTGTCGCCTTCAAGTTTGAAATAAATATTCTGACATAATCAAATTTGCCATCCCCCTCCCACGGATTAAATGGTTGTCCCCTACATGATTTCATATTACATTGTGGCCACAGAATTAGCTGTTGAAAATAAAGTATGAAAGTTCAACAGTGGAATATAAAAAATGGTAGCTTCGGGAGGTGTCGATTTGTCTAGGTGCCGATTTGTCTTGACACCGAACTGTCTTTTTCGGGTGCCGATTTGTCTTGACACCGCACTGTCTTTTTGGGTGCCGAAATATCTTCTACGGATGCGGCATTATCCTGGCACTTATGATGATACATTTTTGTTCTTAGTTTTAAGTTTTAAGTCAGGAAAACGAAGTCCGATGTCAACCTTGAATGGTTGAAGTGAATATTGTTTTTCTTGAATTTCAACTGTCCGTTGACTTCGAATTAACCCTCGTTACCACTAATTTAATGTGTTTACATTTCGTATTATGCCAGGAAATACGGCAACTGGACGTCATATGTCAAACTTTGAAGTCATCCGATATAAGACATAACTCCCTGATGGCGTTACATTGGTGACCTATTGAAGAAAAAGATTACATTATATAATCTTCAGTGTTTACTTGAAATAGAGGCGGAAATGAACATGTTCTTGAATAAATAAGTTATACAAACACCTGTGGCTCTCCGGCAGCAAGATGGTTTAAATGTCCGACATTGTCGTCTTCTAAAACTTCAGGCGGATAACAACTGAAAAGTTCCAAAAACAGTCACCAAATGTTCCAAAAGGGGTGCGATACAGAGTATGTAATACGGAGGGTGTGATACAGGATTTGCGATACAGTTCCGGAGTTTCCATCTTTATCAAATATCAAAGATCGCAGTAATAAGTACTAAATATATGATAAATGAAGGCAACAGTAGTATACCGTCGTTCAATAGTCATAATTCGATTAGGCAAAAACAAATCCGGTTAACGAACTAAAACCGATGGAAACACATCAGCTATAAGAGGAAAACAACAGAACAATAGAAACAGTGAACTGCAACAAAAGCAAACGCCAAAATACATAGAAACGGACTGTAGATAACAACAGTCATATTCTTTACATGGTACAGGACATTTTAAGATAAAATGGTTGGTTGAATCTGGTTTTATGGCTAGCCAAACCTCCTGCTTGTATGGCAATGTTAAAATACCGCTAAAATGACAACACTACGTAACAGGAATACAGTACAAACAAATGTAAGAACACTCAGCACAGAGAAACATATCAATAAATAATATAATAGTACATTACAACATGTAAACCGTAGAATAACAACGTACACCTCCCATGATGATACACTATTTTATCATATATTTAGTATTTTCATCAAAATCTGGCGTTACAACAGACACAGGCAAAGGGGACGAGTTGAAGGAACCCAACCGGCCATCACCATAATAAAATCGAAAATTATAAATCGGAAACGAAAAGTAGTATCTCTTTTTATGTAAAACTGAAATATCAAAACTTGAAAGTATTCGTAGTTATGTTAGATTTATTCAACAATGTTTAACGTCGGTTAGCTTTTTTAATTGTTCAATTACGGGTAATGAAACGGATCTTTGCTGATTTTGGTCGTACATTATGATTCATAACTCCACCATCAGACATTATTAAAGGGCGCAATAAGTGCCCATATGAATACCCACAACCTGTCGATATAGGTTATCGCCAAAACGGACACAGATGTTGTCAAACAGAATAATTATAGTCTTTGTAGTCTTTTTACAGTCCTTTAAGTATATCTAAAGCTTTATCTTTACAGAGGAAGGCTTAAGAGGAGTGCAACAAATAAATATGCAATCAGATCTTTTAAACTTAACCGAGGAAATATAGTATGATTGCCAAACATATAACTATCCGTCAGAGTCCAATATGCCATATGCATTTAAAACAAAGCTGGAACAGTTGATCAATCTATTATCAGAAAGTCGAAGGATGCATAAGAAATAGAATCAAATAAGTTCCATTGTCTTGAAGAAATATGAAGATGTATCATCCTTTGTATTACCAATGTTCTATATAAGGGGTAGTGTTGTGTGCTGACAAGCAGGTTTGAACCCACCACATTCATTTTGTGCAAATCAGGTTTCTGCTATATTTGATTTTAGTTTATCGTTTAAAGGTATGCCAGGCCTATCGAGATGTTAACTTACTTTACGGTTTAGGGTTCGCTCATTGTTGAAGGTCATACGGTTACAGTTGTTATCATCTCGTCATTTGATCTCTGGAGGATAATTGTTTCATTGGCAATCATAAAGAAAATTGGTGCCATATTTTTTCGTGTCATTAAACTGCAATATTTTGACAAGTTTGTTATATATTTTTAAGTATTCTGGCAACAAAGTTAATCTTAAAAATGGCAAGTGTATTTGTAGTCACAAATCAATGGTCCACATATAGACTCGTCTACCTGTAAAATATATATGTATTATCTTGTTACTAAACTTATGAAATGATATATGTTAAAAGTGTGTGTTATCTCAATAGTGACATAAATTGTAATGTAAACATGTACATGTAGCGAATGAAGAACCCGGTGTTACAACTTACCATAAGTTTTCAACTAAATAATAAAACCTCAACAGTATTCTGAATCCATAAAACCCGTGTGCCAAAAAAAATATTTATCGGACGTATGTTTATGTTATTTCGGAAAGGGGACATTTCCTATATATAGAGCGTTACGGATACGCAGCTAGAATGCGTCACTTTGTTTTGCTTTAAAACATATTATGAGATCTTTTCAGGATTGAGATGGATTTAAATGAAATTATCAATATCCTAGACTTCATAGTCTTTACTTAATAAATACTGTTGTACGTAAGTATCCACAAGTAACCCACTATTACATGTTAAAGATCATCAATGTATGATGGTATTTTAAATGCAATTCTTCTCATCAGAAGACTAACTGAATTGAAGTAACTGAATTATAAGAGAGAACAAACACATTCAATTCTCTATCCTAAATGCGAATTGCAAAATCTAATCGTGCTAATCATTCTATTATTTCAAGTATTGTTATATCAACAATATTAGGATTCTACCTTAGTTCCCTCTAAATGTTGGATGACATTTAATAGTTATGTATATGATAATGAGATGTGTAATGATTACCAGTGAAATAACTATATAATGAGTCCAAAGAAAGTTGATATTAGTAGTTATATGGTACCGTACATTCCTCAATAATAAACAAAATTCATACCGTAAATTCAGGCACAGAAGGTCAGGTGATGTCAAAAATGTAAATATATCCGAACGAAAAAACCAACGGCCTGATTTATCATATTTATGAAAATATCTATAAACGGAAAACGGATATTACAGACTATCCATGGAAGTAAGTGCCTCTTCATGACATTGAATAAGAACAGTGATTAAGTAAGGATTGTTCTCAACATTGATTGTTTGTTCCAAAACTAAATATATGTGAGTCTTTCTATAGAAAATAAGCTTTATCATGCAAATTTTACCGCAAATGAATTCAGCTATTTCATTTTGTGTGCCTCCTTTCAGTCAAATAGTTCACATAACAGTCAAGTAGTTATGCAGTGACATTCTTGTTTTTTTATTTTAAGGTTTATGTACTTCTGATTAAGGCAAGTCCAGAAAGGCGCCTCGGACAAACAAAATTTGGAGTGTTATTTTCATTGACTATTAAAAAGATTAACATGTTTTAAGTATTAATATACGGTGAAATATAGTGTCATTTCATAACATCCTGTGCATAAAGCCCCAATTACAGTTCCTGTCTAACAAAAGAAAAAATCAGAACACTAAAAATGAACTTTTAATATACTGACCAAACTAGATATGAAAAGGTGTATTATAAGATGCTTTTGGAAGAAAATAACCACAGTTAATGTAAACTACGTTTTATTAATTTAAATATATGTATGCATTTTAACTGTTATATTGACCGCTTGTAAACATCTGTGAATGTCACAAATTTAGTGTTTTTCATGCACATATATATTTTTATAATATAAAAAATATGAAGATGTGGTATGATTGCCAATAAAACAACCCTCCACCAGATACTAAAATAACATAGAAGTTAACAACTACAGGTCATCGTACAACATTCAACAATGAGCAAAACTCATACCGCAAAGTTAGCTATAAAAGGCCCCGAAATGACAAATGTAAAACAATTCAAATGAGAAAACTAAAGGCATGATTTCTGTACAAAACAATGAACGAAAAACAAATATGATTTACAGCAACAAAAGACAATCACTAATTTACAAGTTTCTGACTTGGGACAAGCACATGCATAATGTGGCGGGGTTAAACATTTTTGCGGGCGCCCAACCCTCCCCCAACCTGGGACAGTGATGTAACAGCACAACATAAGAACAAACTTTAAAAATCA